CAAATGAATAGAGCTGCAGGTTTTTCTAGCGGGGGGGGGGGGGAGTATGGTATTTGGGTTTATTTTAACGGTGCCAATACTTGAACACTCCCAGAAGTGCAACAGTACAGTAATGGGAGTGTGCAAAAAAATGTTAAAGGAGAGACAATGAAAAGAAAAAGATGTTCCAGGTAACATCTACATACAAAACGCAGAACAAAACAAAACAATGAGAAGAGAATATACGGTATATCACTTTGTGAAGACTGCCGAAGAGGAAGGCAGGGGGAAAGTCAAGACTGTTTTAAAAAAGAAAACCTAAACAGAACTCCAACAAAGGTTGATGAGGTGGGAATAGAACTACAAAATGAGACAAAACTCTGAAATGCTTCTCCACAGTGGCATTTCTACTGCAAAAGACAAACACGCAGGCTGACTCCAATATTATGTGGTATTCATTTTCATGTTTTATAAATTCAAAAACAAAGCACATATAGAGAGAGGTTATTTGCTTCCATTCAGTGTCTTGAAACAATGCCTTTTCATTAATTCAAACACAGACAGAATACAGCATTTGGTTCAGTCTGCAGAAAAAACGGATTAAATGAGAACAGATCACCGAAAAATTGGCTGGTGTGGACACACCTCTGGGGAAAAGCAGGGATTTCTGAAGTTGCTTTCTCACTCTTATACAACCACCTTAGATAATAAATACAATCAATTACTAAAGTAACAAAGAGTAATATCTGTTAAACAACTTGTAGCCTGATCTTAACCATGTTTACTCAGAAATAAATCCTGTTAGCATGCTTAACAATGAAGCTTGAGTTTTATTTTTTTCTGGTCTTATAATTACATCATATGACCTAATTTTCCTGGAGGCGTCACAAACATATTTTCAACAGCACTGCCTGTTGCTTTTCCGAAAAAACCTTCATGTTTGGAACAAATCTAATACCCTTTAAAGCACAGTGTACTTTATTTTATTTTGTAACAATACTCAATATGAAATCTTTTTTAAAAAATTAAAATAATTCTGGCATTCTGGCCATAAGCACAACTTCAAAGTGCTATAATTTATTTAAGATGAGCTTGCATTACAGAGATGACTGTCTATGTTGCCGTTTTTAAAAATATTGTGAAGCCAGAATGAAGGAACCACAACATTTTTAAAAAATAATTAAGCAATAAATTGTTAAAATTACTATCACTAATCTAGCTATTATTCAACATATCTTACATTTCCTATCACTGGGAAAGAGCCAAAAAAACCACACAACTAGTTCCACGTTCCCAAGGTAGCCCTGGATTTGAGAGCCAGAATACTGTAGTGGTTAAGAGTGTTGGAGGACTTGGGAGAACAGGGTTGAAATTCCCATTTAGTCATGAAGCTCTGTATCTTGCTGTGGGCCAGTTACTGTCTCTCATCTGAACATAATGCAAACAGTGTTTCTGTGAGAATGAAATTGGAATTGGGGAACCACATACACCACTTTGAGCTCCTTAGGGGAAAGGTGAGAAATAAATGTAGTATCTGAAAGACTGCTTGATTCCTCATGCTGCTACAGCCTTGATCACTGACAACTTCTGATTGGGCACTTTTGGGAATCTCCCATGCCCCTGAGGTTTGGGCAGTCTTTCTCAGGAAGTAACCCTTTAGTGAGGCAGACCCTGCCTTGTGGAACTCCTTGCCAGCAGAAGCTCAGCAGGAGTCATCCCTGCTTTGTTTTAGGAATATTTTAAAAACTTTGCCTTCAGACATGCCTTTGGAACATAACTTCTAATGCAATCAACTTTTACTGAGGTGTTATTTTTTTTAACTACTTTAAACGGCTCAGGACCGCCTCTCTCCATATGAACCTATCCAGACCCTGAGATCATCTTGTGGCAACACAAGAATGGGCCTTTTCTGCAGTGGAAGGAATGTTCTGCACTTGCAGAATGCTCTTCCCAGAGAGGTTTGACTGGTGCCTTCATTATACACTTTTAGGCACCAGGTGAAAACATTCCTCTTTAACCAGGCCTTTGGCTGATTGACAGCTAATGCCCTTTTAAAATGTGTTGTGGAAGGGGAGATTATTGGGTTGTTTCTGTTTTTGTTTTTATTATGTGTTTTGTGGTTCTTTTATGTTTATGTTTTATGTTTATGTTTTGTGGTTCTTTACTTTTATGTTGGGAACCACACTGAGATCTACAGTTATAGGGCAGTATACAAATTAAATAAATAATCATGATCTAATGGAGTCAGAAATCCAAATTCTGAAGCAGAATGCACTGTTTTTCATGCATAATCTAGCAGCAGAGGGCACAGACAGAACTGGGAATTCAGATGCCATGCAAATGATTGAGCACCCCAAAACCTCCAATAAAAAAATCAGCCTTTTGTGATTTATTATGCTCTTATAGATAGAGCCTCTATGTCCAACCCATTGATCCTGATCGATCAGTCGATCACAGGGTCGATCTGGGTTGATAGCCGGCCCAAGGCAGCCAGAACAGAGCACACTCCTCAATAGCCATAAAGACAACAGCTTTGGGGCATGAAGGAGCCGGGTTTCTGATGAGGGAAGGCGGGATCTGGACCAGCAACAGAATTGCCTGAGCAGGGGGAGAAGGCAGGATCGGCATGAGGATCGCCTGAGTGGCTCTCTTTGACAGGGAGGGGTGGAGGGAGGCAGGGGGAGAAGCAGGATCGGTATCGCCCGCCCACCCTGCACCAATCCCTGCCCCCTCTGGGGAAGCAGCCAGCAACCGCCCACCCACCCTGCTCCCATTTCTGCCTCTTCGGGAAAAGCAGCCAGCAGCGTGCGCCCACCCATCCCTGGGTGGTAGATCACTGCCAGTTTTTATATTGGATCGTTGGACATGCCTGTTATAAAGGGCTTTAAAAGAGAACTGAAAGAATTCTTGGAACAGCAAGCCATCAATGGCTCTTAGTCAATAAATCAATATGTTACCTCCAAGTTCAGAAACTCAGTACAGGTTCCTGGGGAACAACAGAGTGAGAGTGTGTGATAAATTTAGAATTATCTTAAGATAATTATTGTTGCTGTTTTAAAACTGAGCATACCAACAAACCAAGAATTGCCACTGTAACATTCCAGGCTGCCAAACTGATTCACAATTTAAAAACCCCCACCAAAAACAGATGTCAAGGTTTGTACCCACACAACAAAAAATGAGACCAAGACTTTGCCCTCCTCTTTGTGTCAAAATTACAGCTACAACATTTAGTCTATTACTTAGCCAGATAAACCAATTTTAAAACTTTCACACTGACTATAAAGGAACTCCCATTCATCAGGCAGCAGATATACACAATTTCTTAGTACAAGTGCTTAAAAACTGCAGCATCTTAAATGAAGCATTCTTGTTTCCAATGAAAGATAAATGACTAAGGATGATGCTTACAATGGTACATATGTGCATAATCTAAAAACACAGGAAGAACGTCCCTGGCTTCAGAAATCCTGTTTTTACCCATTGACAGATGAACTGATTGATCAACTAGTATCTATGAATAATCTGTTAAAATCTCTTATGAACACCTGCAACTACAGTACAGGATAATTAAAAGAAAAACAATCAGCTTCAAAGAAACACATTGGCTGCAATCTGAGAAGGGAGGATGCCGTACAGAACACAGCAGGACTTACTTCCATGTAGACATGCACAGGATTGAGCTATTGGTGATGTAATCCTAAGCATGTTTACTCAGAAGAAAGTCTCGTTCAGCAAGTGCACTGAGGACTGCAGCCTTAACCTTTCTGTGTTGCTAGCAGTTGGCTGACAAAATCAAAGCACTAAACAAGAGTTGTATTTATTTAACTAAGGCTGCCATCAGTCTTAATTTAGTTAGCTAATGCTTGCTTCAATTACCAGCAAGAGCAAAATGTTCCAAATGTGTGCAGGGCTTCGATATGTTGTTGGGGGTTTTTTTTGTAAGTATTTTTTATTCGTTTTCATAGATGCGTAAGTAGACAATTAAACATAACAGTTTCACATGCTGACCACTGAAGGCCGCAAGATTCTGGCACATCCTGCCTGTATAGATCTCTAGCAAGATCTTTTATATTTGTTTTCCAAAACATGTTTAGTGCTTTGCATTAGCCTATTCCTCTGACAAGAACGCTGTTCAAAGCAAGCAGCAGCCATGCCATTTGGCAGTAAGCAACCAGGTCTAGTGCTTTATGCTTTAGCAACCATGTTACCATAGTAACAGGCTCAAAACAATGCAGATAAAAATTATTTTGAAAAAAATCAAGAAAATCAGAATTTTACTGAAATCTAATTAAGTTTTCTTTTAAAATCATATTGTCTCTTTTAAAAAACTGATATAAACTAAGATCTGAGTACAAGGCAAGTGTACGCTCATAATCTCATGGCTGTCCATCAGTATGTCTCACTGTTTAACAGTGAGTTAAAGCCTATTTTACTGTGGCCTGGAGAGAATCCTAGAGCCTCATTTGGCCCCATGCTCCCCCACCCCTGGCAAGCTCTTGCCCTACTCCCAAACTTGGAACTGGGGCAAAGAACCCTCTTAGCAATTGCTCTTCAGATATTATCTGAAGTTTGGACTGGCTTCAGAAACAAGGCCCTGCCACTCTGCCAAGTTGCTTGAGGAAGGGAACGATCCTGACTAAACATCAGGAATAACTTTCTGACAGGAAGAGCTGTTTTGACAGTGGAATGGACCCTTGGGAGGTGGTGGATTCTCCTTCCTTGGAGGCTCCGAAGCAGAGGTTGGACAACCATCTGTCATGGATGCTTTAGCTGAGATTCCTGCATTGCAGGGGGTTGGACTAGATGAGCCCTGGGGTCCCTTCCAACTCCACAATTCTATGATGGGGTGGTTGTGTTTAACATTGTGACCATTTGTGTGAATGCTCCAGTACACCGTAAGCATTGTCAGGTGTACCTTACAATCTCCTAACTAACCCAGATTTCAAAGGAATCCAGGTCTGTCTATATAGCATGCAAGATCATGTACACAAATGGCCACCATTACTCAGTTATTTTACCTGAGTCTTCATAGTTAGCTTCTGGGTCTTTCTTTCTGCTGCTGCAGGATCTATTTTTCTTTTTGCTGTTGTTTTTATTAGAACCTCAAGATCCACCAACTGAAACCAGGAGTAAAAATATAGCCGAGGGGAGAAATATTCCTAGAATTAAGAAACAGGGTACCTCTGGTTACATGCTCAGGACAGGAATTTGTTTTCAATCCCAGAACTGAGCTGTTCTTTCCCACAAAAACTACAAGTATACCTCAGAGAATATATTGTTGGTTCAGTTCTATATCACTACAGTAAAGCAAATTTTTGCAGTAAAGTGAGTCACTACTTTTTTGGTTCCCCCATGCATATAAAAGTTATATTTTACCTACAGGACCGCCTCTCCTGGTATGTCCCATGGAGGACCTTAAGGTCTTCAAATAAAAACATCTTGGAGATCCTAGGCCACAGGGAGGTTAGGCTGGCCTCGACTAGAGCCAGGGCTTTTTTGGCCATGGCCCCGATCTGGTGGAATGCTCTGTCACAAGAGACTAGGGCCCTGCAGGACTTGACATCTTTCCACGGGGCCTGCAAGATGGAGCTGTTCCGCCAGGCCTTCGGCCAAGGCACAGTCTGACTCCTTCTCTCCTTCTGTAATCCTCATAGAACTCTAACTCAATGGTTGCCATTAATTTGATTCTGAATTGATTTAAGAATATATTTTAATTAATTGACTGTGTGATTTTATGTACACTGTGCTATTTTTACTTGTTGTTAGCCGCTCTGAGCCCGGCTTTGGCCAGGGAGGGCAGGATACAAATAAAAAATTATTATTATTATTATTATTATTATTATTATTATTATACTGCAGTCTATTAAACCAGTCACCCTCTGGGTGCAGGAGCTGGAGGGGTAAAACCCTAGCCAGTTCCACTCCCATGGCCAAAAGAGGGGCAGCAAGGGGCTTCCTGCCCCATGTGGCTGGGCTGCTTGCAATTGCACCCACAGTCTCATAAGGAGCAATATATGTGAAGATGTAAGAACGATGTATGCTTGTACCCCCAATCTTTATCTCTTCACTCCACTTTTATTCCTCTCAACAATCTAATTTAAAAGAAAGATGCCTTTTATTTTATCTTCTGCAAATAACTTTGAAATCCAGGAATAGGCATCAAACCACATTCCCCACTCCTATTACAAGCACGTACTTCAGATCTCAGAACAGTCTTACAGGTTAATGCTTGAAGATTACATTACCCAAGCTGAACTTACAAGAATTGCCTGTTCCTGTAACATTTTAGCAGTTGAATGAATAAAATAAATAATACTAGAGTGACAGTGGTATGTCACAACTGTTAGAATGCCTCTGCTGGCAGAGCAAGTCCATGATGGAGCTCCAATACCTTTTGTAGCCATTAGGGTTTAAAATTAATTATTTTTCTGGTTCAGGTCTGACATATGTACCTTTTTCTTCAAATAGCAATAGGAAGTTGGTTCAGCGACATGTATCATCCCATTTTGTATCCCTTCCTAGGGATGTCTTAAAAATGTTTTGATATGCCAGGTATTTTTGAAGTGTTATTCCTGGTATTATTCCCATTGCAGTTCTGGATCCAGTATAGTTGATTTAAAAGATCGTCATGTGGTGAAATACCAGTACCATACAGCATTTTGCCACAACTGTTCTACCACTGCCCATTTGTGCCCAGGTTCAGGAATCTTTTCAACAAATTGAGATTCCCAGAGTCCACACAAGGGCAATCAAAGAACACACACTTGGGAGTTGAAATTAACTTGGGGTACATAAATGGCAAAACAGATGCACAACTCCATAAACTGTGACCAACACATGCACATTTAAATGGCCACAGGTTTCCCTATCTCAAATACAGAAGCATGGACCATTCCTGTTTTGATTCCATTCACGTTTTTCAGCTTCACTTACTACTTCCAACCACCCCTCTCCCCTTTCAAATCAGCAGTGAACAAATAAGTGGTACCTCGGGTTACAGACGCTTCAGGTTACAGACTCCGCTAACCCAGAAATAGTACCTCGGGTTAAGAACTTTGCTTCAGGATAAGAACAGAAATCACGCGGCAGCAGTGGGAGGCCCCATTAGCTAAAGTGGTGCTTCAGGTTAAGAACAGTTTCAGGTTAAGAACGGACCTCCAAAACGAATTAAGTTCTTAACCCGAGGTACCACTGTAAAGCTACAGACCACCAGAGAAAAGGCCCAACAACTACAACAGCATGACCTCTGAGCTGACATTTTACTTGTCATGAGTCCTATATTATTAGACTCATATCTTCTTTTAAGATAAAGGTAAAGGGACCCCTGACCATTAGGTCCAGTCATGGCCGACTCTGGGGTTGCCGTGCTCATCTCGCTTTACTGGCCAAGGGAGCCGGCGTACAGCTTCCGGGTCATGTGGCCAGCATGACTAAGCCGCTTCTGGCGAACCAGAGCAGTGCACAGAAACATCGTTTACCTTCCCACCGGAGTGGTACCTATTTATCTACTTGCACTTTGACGTGCTTTCGAACTGCTAGGTTGGCAGGAGCAGGGACCGAGCAGCGGGAGCTCACCCCGTCACAGGGATTTGAACCACTGACCTTCTGATCGGCAAGTCCTAGGCTCTGTGGTTTAACCCACAGCGATTTTCCTCAGGGACCCAACTACTCCTAAATAAGAGGTACTTCAAGATCAGTCCAAAATTCTTATCTAGCCTAGAATCCAGACTGGCCAACCAGATATTGCCAGGGGTGGGTGGGTTGCACAAGCAGGACCTGAAAATAACAGCCCTTCCTCCACCTGGGTGCATCGCCACAGTCACATGGTATTCAGATACACTGCCCCTGAACATGGTGGCTCGATTTAAGCCACCAAAAATCACAATGCAAAGCAATGCCGTTGCTGTGTCCTCCCCCTCCTTTCAGAGGACCACACACCTTCTTCACCTTTGTGACTCTCGTCTGACCTCCAAAAAACCCCTATCAACCGTGTGACATTCGAAGTATGCTTTAGCTGCAGGAGTGAGAAACCTGCGGCCTTCATCAGCCTCCAATTCCCGCAAGCCCGCCCAACGGTCACGGCTGCTGAGGAGCTGTAGCGCGACACCATCTGCAGGGCCACAGCTTCTCTGCCCATGTTTTAAAGCCGTCACACGCATGATGTGGCAGTGAGTTCCACAGGTCCGCCACGCCGTTCCTGGGAGCGAGCAGCTCTCCCTCCCACCGCTCTCCTTCCCTCCCTCCCTCCTTGCGCTGACTGACAAGGTAACCGGCAGCTCTCCCTCCCACCGCTCTCCTTCCCTCCCTCCCTCCTTGCGCTGACTGACAAGGTAACCGGCGAGCGAGGGGGGAGGAGCCACGCCAACAGCTGCCCGGGCCACGCCCACCGACCGCGAGCCGATCGCGCGAGAGGAAAGCGGAGCGGGTGAGGTGGGGGGGAGGGCGGAGGAAAGGAGGCGGAGTAAGAGCTCTTTCCCTTCTCACCGTGACGAGTCGTTTGCGCGGCCGACCTCAGCACTGGGCGACATGGCAGCGGCGACGGACCGGACTCTCAGGGAAGAAAGGAAGAAAAAAGGAAAGGGAGGGAAGGAAGGAACCGAGACCCGCTTCGGCAAACCTCGGCTAGGCTTCACACCCGGAAGCGGAAGTTCTGTGCCGGAAGTGACGAGGGGGGAAAGCGGGGATTTGGTTGGCCGAATCTTTGCTATGGGCTTCTCTGAAGCGAGTCCTTCTCTCTTCCCCCACCCCCACATGGCGCTTCGTTTCTGTCTTTCAAAGTGACCGTTGGTAGCCGGGGGCGGGGGAAGAGAGGAGCATGAGGCTTGGGCTGCGTGACTGTCAAGCAACGGCCCGCTTGGCCTCGCCTGCCTTGGCTCCCCGCTGAAGAGGCCGGTTAATTACAGCGTATGCGCCGCTTTTTTGCGGACCCGACCTTCGCCAAAGGTTAGCAAAGGGCGGCGGGGAACCAGCGGCCGTTCGCTTGCAGATGTGGCGGCGTTACTCGTCTCCGCCCCTAGGTGTCGCCCGCCGCAGCGGCTGCCTGCACGCCGTGCGATTCCCTCAAGGGAATCCTGGGAACTGTAGTTCAAGAGTGGTGGGAGGTAGAACTCTCGAGTGTGAACTGCAGTTCCCAGGATTCCTTGTGTGAAGTCGTGAGCTTTAGATAGTTGGTGTGCACGCAGCCGATTGTACTAAGCATAAATGCATGCATGCAATTCTTATTACGTTGTGCACTGTCCTGGTTTGCTTTAGGACATAGGGCAGTATATAAGAACTCTTATTTTTATTATTAGTCAGCCTACACAAGCCATTCTGAAACCCTTGGCAGGTTGGATTTTACTGGGAAAACCATAGCTTTTACTATACGGACCTTTGTTGGCAAGGTGATGTCTCTGCTTTTTAAGACGCTGTCTAGGTTTGCCATCGCCTTCCTCCCAAGAAGCAGGCGTCTTTTAATTTCGTGGCTGCTGTCACCATCTGGAGTGATCATGGAGCCCAAGAAAGTAAAATCTCTCACTGCCTCCATTTCTTCCCCTTCTATTTGCCAGGAGGTGATGGGAACAGTGGCCATGATCTTCATTTTTTTTGATGTTCTTTAATTCCTCCTCACTTTCTGCCATCAAGGTTGTGTCATCTGCATATCTGAGGTTGTTGATATTTCTTCCGGCAATCTTAATTCCGGCTAGGGATTCATCCAGCCCAGCCTTTCGCATGATGAATTCTGCATATAAGTTAAATAAGCAGGGAGACAATATACAGCCTTGTCGTACTTCTTTCCCAATGTTGAACCCATCAGTTGTTCCATATCCAGTTCTAACTGTAGCTTCTTGTCCCACATAGAGATTTCTCAGGAGACAGATGAGGTGATCAGGCACTCCCATTTCTTTAAGAACTTGCCATAGTTTGCTGTGGTCGACACAGTCAAAGGCTTTTGCATAGTCAATGAAGCAGAAGTAGATGTCTTTCTGAAACTCTCTAGCTTTCTCCATAATCCAGCGCATGTTTGCAATTTGGTCTCTGGTTCCTCTGCCTCTTCTAAATCCAGCTTGCACTTCTGGGCGTTCTCGATCCACATACTGCTTGAGCCTTCCTTGTAGAATTTTAAGCATAACCTTGCTAGCGTGTGAAATGAGTGCAATTGTGCGGTAGTTGGAGCATTCTTTGGCACTGCCCTTCTTTGGGATTGGGATGTAGACTGATCTTCTCCAATCCTCTGGCTACTGCTGAGTTTTCCAAACTTGCTGGCATATTGAGTGTAGCACCTTAACAGCATCATCTTTTAAAATTTTAAATAGTTCAGCTGGAATACCAGCACTTCCACTGGCCTTGTTATTTGCAGTGCTTTCTAAGGCCCGTTTGACTTCACTCTCCAGGATGTCTGGCTCAAGGTCAGCAACCACACTACCTGGGCTGTACGAGACATCCATATCTTTCTGGTATAATTCCTCTGTGTATTCTTGCCACCTCTTCTTGATGTCTTCTGCTTCTGTTAGGTCCTTACCATTTCTGTCCTTTATTATGGTAATCTTTGTACGAAATGTTCCTTTCATATCTCCAATTTTCTTGAACAGATCTCTGGTTCTTCCCATTCTGTTGTTTTCCTCTATTTCTTTGCATTGCTCGTTTAAGAAGGCCTTCTTGTCTCTCCTTGCTATTTTTTGGAAATCTGCATTCAATTTCCTGTATCTTTCACTATCTCCCTCGCATTTTGCTTGCCTTCTTTCTCCCGCTATTTGTAAGGCCTCATTGGACAGCCACTTTGCTTTCTTGCATTTCTTTTTCTTTTTTGATTTTATTACTGTGAGGCTACTGATGTGCTCTGATGTATTAGGATGGTAAGGCTTGTTCTGTAATAATACAGAAAGTTTATACCAAAAAAACCCAAAACCTTTCCCAAATAAGAAGTTTGAGAGCAAAAGCCAAAACCCCTTTCTATTATGATATGGACATATTATAGATACTTTCCCCACAGCTCTTGGGATGGAGAACATTTCTATCCTGTAGATTGCCGAAACCAAGATCAGAGGTCACCTCCTGCAATGGTCTTGTTGAACAGCAAAGGGTTAGATGAGGATGTTAAGTCCTGGTTGCGTGTGGCCGAAGTAGCAACCACCATTTCCTCAGACACTCCCGGCAAGAACTGTCTCATCTTGCACCACCTAACCTGCTATATTTGGCTCTTTGTTAAGAAAGTACTTGGCCCTTTGCCTGTGCAACAAAAACATCTATTGCTTTTTTAGCTTCCTGCTATTTGATTTTCTCGCCTGTGCTGCCCCCTTCTGGTTCTTATCTTCCTATTCTTCCATTCCCCTCTGCCTGGTTCAAATAAACCTTTGGTTGATTTAATAACACTTTACTTCTGAAAGCACTCAAAGAATATATATAATAAAATGATGAGTAAATATGTTAACATGTTAATGTGAGTTGCTACTCAGGTTCCACTTCCCCCCTGAGGGTTGATTTCACCCATTGAAGCTGCTGGGCTGTGTTTCGAATTGTTGACGATACATTGGAGGACAATATACTGGAGGAAAGTACATTGGAGGAAAGTATACTGTTAACTTCAAGAATAATCACATTATTGGCTTTTAAATACATTGGGACAAAGCTACCACATAATAGACAGATTCAGCAAGCAGCATAGAGCACCAGTGTATAACGTAGGGACACTGCAGTGGTAACCTTTATGTGGCTCTATGAGTATTGCAATCATGTCTGTATTTCCATCTGTGAAATGTTAGACGGTATGCATTTGGCTCTCCACTTTCTCTCCTTTCATCATACATTGGTGAGCCCCACCCCAACATCATTGGACAATTTTATATTCACAGAGGGTCTCTCCTTTAAGGGATTGAATTAACCTGACCATAGAGTTCCCTAGAACAGAGGTCGACAACCTATGACCCTCCAAATTTGGGCTTCCTATAATCTCAGACCATTAGCCTTACTGGCTGGGATCAATTGGCATTGAACTCTTAACAACATCTCAAGGACCACAAGTTCCCCATCCTTGCCTTACAATGTCATTCAGCCTTCCTGTTCTATTGAGGAAGCTTGGGTTTGGGTTTCAGTGCTCAAATCTCCCTGGATTTGACAGCAGGAGGAAGTGTGTGGGTTCATCCTCTAGTGCAGTGTTTCCCAACCTTGTGCCTCCAGCTGTTTTTGAACTACAACTCCCATCATCCCTGACTAGCAAGACCAGTGGCAAGGGATGGTGGGAATTGTAGTCCAAAAACAGCTGGAGGCACAAGGTTGGGAAACACTGCTCTAGTGGACCCAGAAGCTGCAGTGTAGCTCTTCCACATCCCAGACATTCCACTTGGTGGTCTTCTGTCTCCCACCCTGTTCATGTTTTCCTGCCCCTCTCCGGTGTTCTCAGCCCATGGGTAAAGGTCCCTAGCCTAGAATCTGCTATTCTTTCCCCCACATCTGTACTAGTGTGACCCTCAATATGATCCTACACCAAAAAAATCAACAGACATGCCCACTGGGCTGAAAGTAGCAGTGCTGAATAGCTATAATGGTTAGAGCTGTCATTTTTATTAATGAAACTACAGACAAGCAACAGGTATACAGCTTTCCAGGCTTTCCATGATAGTATGGTGTTAGCATAGTTTCTGTATATGCAGTGAATAAGCATGGTGTTTACAGTGGCTTCTCACTTTTACTTCTGAGTGCCGTTTCATTGATGCTATGGTTTGCCAAGCAGAAAAATGGATAATCTATTTGGGTAGGGACCAGCCCTCTATGATCTAGGGCAGGCATTGGCAAACTCACCTCGCCAAATGTTTTTGGCCTACAACTCCCATGATCCCTAGCTAACAGAACCAGTGGTCAGGGATGATGGGAATTGTAGTTTCAAAACATCTGGAGGGCCGAGTTTGCCTATGCCTGATCTAGGGCTTTCTCCTACCCTCCTCACATCACAAAAGCAGTAATGTGGAAATATTTTAAATACACGTTAAGCAGTCTTATACCCAATCTGTATATTAGCCAACACCTGCTATCTGAATTTTTCAGCTAGAGATGCCATGAATTCAACCTTGGACCTTCTGAATGAGAAGCAGCATTATTTTTTTATTGCTTATTAAATTTGTATACCATCCTTCATCCAAAAATCACAGGGCGGTTCACAGCATAAAAATACAAAATGAGAACACAAAATAACACAATAAAACAAAAACAAACCAATAACACCCCCCTCCCCACAAAAACATTTAGAAGGCCAGAGAACATTAATCAGTCAACGACCTGATTATAGCAAAAGCATGTTCTCAACCCGTGAGCTATGGTCCATTCCTCAACCCATTCCTTTCCTCCCCTCAGTTCCTGAAATTTCTACCATGTGTACATTGAATGCACACCTGAGACCTGCAGGTAAATTTATGCAAGATCTCTGCTCTCAGATTATGATGATTTCTGGATGACAGCCTATGGTAGAGATGGAGAACGTGGCCCTCCAGTTGTTGCTGGGCTCAGCTACCAGTCAGCATGACTAGTGATCAGGGACGATACATAGTTGTCAACTTTTCCCTTGCGAGGAATCCTATTCGGGATAAGGGGATTTCCCTTAAAAAAAGGAAACGTTGGCAGCTATGGGACGATGGAAGATGTAATCTATCAAAGTCTGGAGTGCTATTGGTTCCCCACCCCTGTTCTATGGCCACTGAGTGTTACAATAGTCCCTGTTGCTTTTGAAGCCCAAATAGTATTAATTCAAGAGTGATTGGGGGAAGTGTGCATATTTTAGGTTAGATGCCTTCAGTGGAGCCTCCTCCCTGACAGGCCCACCTTCTCCATGCCACTGTCACCGTTGCCAGTCAATTATCCTCTTTCTCTGGGTCAGGGTGGCTGGTGCCCACTGGGTGAAAGTCAGGGAAACCAGCAGTAGGAGCCAGAGCCATCCCCTGGCCAAGTGTAAAAAAGAAAGCAGGCAGGTGGGAGTAGGCTCAGACTTGTGGGGCTGTGCCCCATTTGCCCTTATTGTCCAGCTTTTCACTGCTGTAGGCCCAATCTGAATGGCTACTCAAAGGAGGAAGCTGAGCTGAGCCAACACTGTTGTTCCTTTTCCTTGTTTCTATCACAGCTGAGATAGCTCAATCACTCTGGGGGAATAAGTAAAGAGCCAGGAGGCTCTAAGGGGCTGGCAGTGGGCTTTGAGATGAGAGACAAATCTCAGCAGGTGCTCAAGGATGCCCATCCCTGATGCCCAACCCTCTCCGGAGAGTTCTGAGCTAGCTTCAGGATGAAATTATGGAACTAAATGTCACTACAATCCGTATCCGAACCAGAAAACGAATGTAATGCCCATCTTTTTAAAAGACATCATAAGTGATTCCAAGCATTTCCCTTTTGTTACAACAAAGGACAACTTAGATAGTCCGCGTTCTTCCTGAGTCACAGTGTTCTAGCCCTCCTAAGTGCATTTCAGTTCCTGCCATTGCATCTAGGGAAGAGCTGGAAAGCTGTGTGCATCTGCCAGGCTCTTGATGAAATGCAGAGTCTGTGTCAGTCACCAGCCTGAATTTGCTGCTGCATAAGCAAAAAAGAAGAATTTTAAGGTTTGATGGAGGCATGGAAACCCTCTTCCATCGCCACCATCCCTTCCACGGTGGTCTCTGTTGTTTGCCTGGAACACTTTCGACTGTCCTTTATGTTTTTCAAGTTCTCAGAAAGTGTTTCCTGAACTTTTTGGTGAGGAAGCAGTAAATGACAGGATCCAGAACGCAGTTGGCCCCCAGGAGGAACAGGGTGACCTGGTGGATGTGATCCCACCACCTTTTGCTCCTACAGCTTATATCCCATTTGCCCAGAACCATCAAGGTCCAGGGAAGGTCCACAATGTGGTGAGGCACGAAACAGACCACAAACACAATCATGACAGTGCACACCAAATAGAGCGCCCTTTGCCTGATGTGGGCGCTCTTCCGAGCTTGAGGTTTTTGGGAGAGCAGTGTCCGGATAATGGAGGCATTGCATACCACGACAATCAGGAAGGTGATAAAGAAACAAATGCAAATGACGATGTGGGAGGCAAGGACAGGGATGTTACTGCTTTCTGGGTCATAGCGCTCAAAACAGCGTGTCACATGCCCCTCTTGGGTAGTGCCGCTGCCAAACAGGAAGTATGAAGAAGGGCCCGCGATCAGGACCCAGATAGCTATTGTGACATAGATGCCCCTTCTTCGCGTGGTAGACTGAGCTGCCGAAATGGGCTTTGTGACTGCTTGGTACCGATTGTACGTTATGACTCCTAGGAAAGCAACTGAGCAGTAGGTGTTCACAAAGAATAAGTAACCAGCCAAGTTACATAAAAAGCTGGGCATGATCCAGTCTCCTCTGTAGTGGTAATACACGATCCACATTGGCAACGTGATCAGGAAGAGCAGGTCGGCTGTCGTCAGGCTGACCATGAATATCTTTATTTCATTTAGTTTCTTCGTGGCATAAACCCGTGTGAAAAGCCACAGGACGTAGCTGTTGGCTATGAAGCCCAGAATGAAAATGATGCTATAGTAGACAGTGAACAGGGTATATCTGAACTCGGAATCCACGTGGCAATCTTCCTTCGTGACGGCAAGCGATGAGAAGTTGTTACTTTCACCCTTTCGGGACATGGCTGCAGCAATCACGTTATTCTTTTAATGAAGCTCTGTTTTTCTTATCCTGAAAAGAGAGAGAAGGAAATGAATAATGCAAGAGGGAGGCAACATTCAGCAATGAAACACAATGTTTTGTATGCAGAAGTTCAATCCCTGACAGAGAGGTGGTTAACCCCCGCTGTCCTGAGATGGGATGAATAAGCAAACTGGCATTTCAGTTCCCATTTCCATTTTTGATAGACTTTAACACCCCTAGCTTTAAAAAAGGTTTTTGAAAAGTGGGGGAGGGATAGGAGATCTGGGGCCCAAATGAAAGGACCTGGAGTTTGGGGACCCTAGACTAGACCCTGCAAAACCCGGAATGGCACCACACCCATTTCCGAACAGAAGAATCATTTGACTTTTTCAGACTACACAGCTTGATTGACACTTTGTAAAGCTGTGTGACTATGTTAAACCTCTTACTGCTTCCTAAGAGGAAGTGAAAGCTGTGTAGAAAAGAGACATCTGCAGAAGAGGATCTTTCCCCGTGAGATTGAGAAGTGCCCACGGGTCACATTAACCACAGAAAGAATTGTGTAATTTGCCAATGTGGTGTGGTTAAAAAAAATAAAAATCCCCTGCTTAATTTGTTCGTGTTTTCTTGGATAAAACAACAAGATGCCTATGCTGTTATTTAAAAAAAAATGGATTTGAAAACAGCTATTTTTATGAGGCCTAATGCTGCCAGCGGAAGCTGAGGCTCCAATACTTTGGCTACCTCATGAGAAGAGAAGACTCCCTGGAAAAGACCCTGATGTTGGGAAAGATGGAGGGCACAAGGAGAAGGGGACGACAGAGGACGAGATGGTTGGATAGTGTCCGCGAAGCTACAAACATGAGTCTGACCAAACTGCGGGAGGCAGTGGAATACAGGAGTGCCTGGCGTGCTCTGGTCCATGGGGTCACGAAGAGTCGGACACGACTAAATGACTAAACAACAACAACAATGCTGCAGTCCTATGCATGCTTACTTAGGAACAATAATTTATTATTATATTATTACAGCATAAAACTGTAAATACATAATATAATAAAAGTAAGTAGTAATTGTAAAAGAGAGACCACTGCCAACTCATCAATTAACTGGGTTTTAACATTTTAGGATTCTGCCTTTCACAGGGTGTAAATTGAGTCTCAGGCTGAAAAAAGACCACATTCATTTTTCTTCATTTTTCAGAGGATAGACTCATAGAGTTGGAAGGGACTCCAAGGGTCATCAAGTCCAACCCCTGCAATGTAGGAATCTCAGCTAAAGCATCCATGACAGATGGCCATCCAACCTCTGCTTAAAAACCTCCAAGGAAGGAGAGTCCACAGCCTTCCGAGGGAGTCGGTTCCACTGTCAAACAGCTCTTCCTGTCAGAAAGTTTTTCCATATGTTCAGTCGGAATTTCCTTTCTTATAACTTGAAGCCATCGGTTTGAGTCCTACTTTCCAGAGCAGGAGAAAACAAGCTTTCTCCATCTTCCATGTGACAGCCCTTGAAATATTTGAAGATAGTCATCGTATCTCCTCTCAGGTTCCTCTTTTCCAGGCTAAACATACCCAGCTCCTTCGACCACTCCCTGTAAGGCTTGATTTCCAGACCCTCTTATGGTGTACATACCTCTTTCCCCATACTACTGTTTCTGTTCAAACAGATTTGGTTGTGTGCGTGTTTTGTGTAGTAAGAAAGCCTGCAAAACTCATTTTGCTAAGGAGCGAAAATGATTGAGTACAGTCATCACAAGCAACTCATCCACACTGGAGTTTAATGTGGATTTTGAAACTGCTTGTGTCTATATTTTTTTGTGTTGTCCACCTAATGTCCTCCTCACCCCCCTTTTAAATTTAGATTTTCCCAATCTGCGGGTAATCAGACCGGGAACAAAAATCTGATATAAACTTGAACATTACCCAGCTATGGACATACGAAGTGAAGCATGCTGTGTAGACAGATATTTTTACATGTGTGGTGGCAATTCTGTTGTCACACAACCTCTGCTTCCATTTTGCTTCCATCAGCCCAAAGGAAAGGATGTAGCCTGTCTTTTCCTATTAGTTGTTGCAGAACTTTATTTTTATTCTTTTAGCAGAGCTCTTGTGGAAAACTACCGTTTGCCAAAATATCTGCATTGAAAATAAAAATAACATTTACTCATGCAACTACAGGATGTCAGAAAGGAAGAACGGAAGACAGAAAGTGGCGGCCTTCGATACAATCAGCTCCAAATGCTTGCTTGATTTGCAGTGACTCATATTTATTTACTTATCTTTGACTGCTCTTTTGTGTGAATCTCATATATGGGAAAATGTATTTTTTAAAAAAATAATGTGTAGTCACAGCTAAACAAATACCTGCATGCATGGCCAGCAGGCATCAACCAGGCATTGACTCCTGAGGAGACCACATTTGGACATTGCCTGATCACACCTCCTGTGTGAGAAGAAGGGCAGGGCACATTCCACCTGCTACCTAATGGCAGAGAAGGAGCTTAGCTGTGGTACCCTAGGCAGAAGGAAGGAAGGGGAGACAGGGAGGATGTAAAAAACACCAGAGGGAGGGGAGAAGAGGAGGAAGCCTAGTGGAGACACAGGGAACAGGCTGGTCAAGCTGAATGCCTAAATTAGATACCTCCACATAAATTAGGTGGTCCTCACATTGGAGGTCTTCTTCAGGTTGTTCCCCTAAGCATCATGGGGTGTGGCCAAAGGGGTGAGACCAACGGCCCATGTTTATCTAGTCCCCCTGCATCCTGGGGAGGCATAGATCTCATAGAATCTCATAGAATCATAGAGTTAGGACCTTGAGGATCAACCCCCTGCAATGCAAGAAAGTGCCACTGTCCCTTACTGGGATCGAACCTGTAACCTTGGTGTTGTCAGCACCACGGTCTAACCAACTGAGCTATTCTGTGAGGCCTGGATTTAAGCGCTGCCCAGAGAATTGATACAGAAGACCCCTGTCCACTTTGGGGGTGAGCCTCCCCTGGAATCCTGAGGCAGCTCTGGGTGGAATTGACTGTCCCTGTGGTTTGGGACTTACTCTTGAGGAAACAATGTTGGAGAAAGGAGAATTTGACGCTCTGAAGAAAGCACGACGCTGAAGTAGCCCTGAGAAGCAGAGGTCTGGCTGAAGGACTTGGTGCCTGGAAGAATCTAGGCCTGAGGTGCAAGCTGATTAAGTGAAGCTGCATTTCTGGACTAGTGACTTACAGCTGAGCAGACATGCATTGCTGCCTCTGTTTTGACCTCTTATGGAAGTCATGGCGCATGTCCCCCTTGAGGTTATCCTTCCCTGGGGGTCTGGCACAAATACCTGGGTGCATGCCCAGAACAGATCTCAGACTTGAGGAACTTAGGGAGGGTGGGGAACTGTTAACTGAGGGGAGGAAACAACATCCCGAATATATCCCAGCAAACACCACCCACTAGTATGGATGGGAAACATTGAGAGAGATTTCAGAGGCATAAAACTGAAGGTACACAAACACACACATGAAAACCCTTGTGTGGACACAGCCTTAAACAAAGAAGGGTGCGAGAGAGTGTATTGTAGTAGTAAGAACAGCTTTGTATTTAAGCACTAGCTTGATACCCACAGGTGAGAAGGAATTGCAAGCAGGTGAATTATTGGAATTCTACACAGGTGGGAAGGCGGGGAAAGGATGGGCAGAGTGCTCTGTCTGCCCTCTGTGCTCAACGCCAAAATGAAACAGGTTGCTGCAGGGAGGACTGAACAGGGGCAGATATTGGTCTTTCAGATTTCAATGGCCTCCTGTGCAAGGCCAAAATTCTAACCCTCACCTTCCATCTGCTCAATTCACCAGCTCATAGTTGCAACGCCCTGTGGCACCCCCTGCACTCAGAACCCATTGCGATTGGGACCCGTTGCACTGCCCTAAATCTGCCTCTGGACTGGACTCACCCTCCCATTTTTTGCCAGCTCCCAGCAGGGTAGTAAAAATGCAGGCTATTAACTTTATTCAGAAGTCTGGGTTACAGTGCCAGATTAGGATGGGTATTACATGGGCCCAAATCCTTATTCAGCTATTACGAAGATCTCATTGGTAGACTCGGAGAATGTCTCTGTCTCTCTCTCTCTCTCGTTAATCTACTTTGCAAGATTGGTGTTAGATTTTTTTTTTAAGGGGGGGGGAGACCCAGATACACTTCCCTGTTCTCCTTGGAGGAAGGGTGGGGAATTAGAGTAATAAGTAACTAAGTGGAAAATAGAGAAGTTTGTGCCCTTATTTGGCCCTGGCATGAAATATTTTAAATGCGTGTTTTGGGGGTTGTTGTTTTTTGTTGGTAAGCTCCTGTTTCTTCAGTTCTGTTGCTTGGAAAGAGGAAGTGGAACCACAAACACCTTTTCTTTCTTAGAACTCTGAGCTTCCTCCTCCCACAGTCATTTTTTACCGCTTTTTCCAGATAAGGTCATCTGCCCATTAACTTTGTGGCATGATTAACTCTGGAAGCCTCTTTACACTTTGGGTGTCTCTTGCCCTTTAGAGCAGGGATGAGGAACCTTAAGCCTGAGCAAGGCAGACCAAGAAATTTTGCTGTCTGAGGCAAAGAGCAAAACGGCACTGACTAGGGACAGGAGCGGGAGAGTTCAATTTGGTATGCATTTAAAGCCTAATCTTATCAAGTCCACACTTTTCGAAACAATATAACAACCGAAACACAGCTATTCTTCAAAATGCAGAATTTTGCAATTCAGTTCTCCAACCAAACAGTGTTTGCAGAAATGCATCTATTAGTGGAAACGTCTTGCAAAACTCTGTACAGAAAGCAAAACTGCATATAAACTGTTTATTAGGAGAAACTCTCACAAAAATGCTGATATTTTTTTTTAAAATCACGAATAGCTGCAAAATGTAGAGAACGGAATTTAAGATTGGAAAAATGAGAAAATGAGCGAACTGAAATTGGCAGATCCTTCCATCCATGACACCCACACACCCATTCCATTTCATGTACAGCATACTTCCTTCAACACTGCACCCAAGTGTAGCAGTTCACATTTAAAGGTGAACCTCCCTAATATGCATTCTCCGAAACAATATGAGAACCAAAACACAACCTTCTGTTGAAATTCACACTTTGCAATGCAGTTCTCTAGTGAAGTGTTGTATACAAATGCACATACAAATATGTGTTTATTGGGAGAAATATACCGTAGAAGGCTGGTGAGTTCTCATGGGAAGTTTTTTTTTTTTAATTCACAAGGATATACGGAGAACCAAACTTAAGAATTGGGGGGGACGGGACGGATAGAAAGCAAAACTGATAGATTTGCACATCCCTGAATTCTGAGGGTGCTTCCTTATAAGCGAAGTCTATCCAAATCAATGGAACTTCAGAGAAAAAATGTTTAGCATAGGAGTGTGAATACAGCGTCATTTCTCTTTCAGAAGTCTTAAAATGTGGGACAAATCTTTCTTCCTTTCTCTGCTCTCCCTCCCCTTGTCCCATCACCACCACCATAATTGAACTTTGGCCCTTCTCTTCCCACTCTAGAATTCATTCTCCAGGTGCTGTTAACTCCAGGTTGCCTTCACCCCCATCTCTCCTTTCTTCGAGTTATTTATCTTTAACCAAGGCTTGGACTGAACAGTCCTACGGATAAAAGGAATGTCAGGGCGGGCACATGAGCACTCCAAAGATACTTCTGAGGGAGTAATTTGGTAGAACAATGGCTGCAGTCAGATCCTCTTATCCTCCCACACAAGTTCAAAAGGCTGGAGACTTAATTTGATTTGATTTTTTATTCAAATGAAAGTTGGATGTTTGGGACATTGCTGAGGGGACTAGTCCGTCACACCCACCTACCTCAGTAGGTACAGCTCTGCAATACATTGAAAGGAAGTTTAAACACCCTATCTGCGGACACACCAAACATTTAAACAGCATAACTTCCCCTTGCCCAAGAATCCTGGGAGCTCTACTTTGTCCCTCACAGAACTACAATTCCCAACACCCTTGACAAACTACAGTTCCCAGGATTCTCGGGCAAGGGGGAGTCATGTGTTTCAAATACATTGTGTGCATGCAGCCTCCAGCTCATAGACGTAGCATAAGTAGCCAGCATACTTGGGCAGCAGAACTCAGTCAGAGCCCACCTTGATAATGCTATTGGGATATTATTATTTTTAGCCCGCTCCCTGCCCTCCTGCCAGACAAGGTCTGGTATTACTTAGCAGCAATGGTAGGTGGCTGAGAAACCGCCATTTCAAAGTGCCAACAGTACTCCAAGCAGCTGTCTTGTCAGTGCATTGTGAGTAGTTACAACAGTGGACAGCTCAGAGCTGCCCACCACATATAATGGCGCTGCTGCTGTATATCATTGCCTGTGTGCTGGTTACCTGCAGAAGTTCATGCCTCATCATACTCGCTGCTGACCCCTGACATCTTATAGGGAGCTGCCTTAAATTAAGTCAGACACTTGGTCTACTCGGCTCAGTATTGTCTACACCAGGGGTCTGCAACCCGCGGCTCCGGAGCCGCATGTGGCTCTTACATCTTTGCCGCGGCTCCGGGGCGGATACTAGCGAGGGGAGGAGGCGCATTGTGCGCCCCGACACTCCTAACTGTGGCGGGCGCTGTACTGGCTGTGACGTCGCATGGGGCGGTGCGTGCGTTAGTCACGCACCGTCCCGACGTCACCTTCCCGCCCGCTGTCAGATCGCAGCTCCGGAGATATATTTGTTTTAAATGTCGCAATGGTTTTGCGGTTCCCAGTTGTTGTTTTTTCTTCGGAAATGGGTCCAAGTGGCTCTTTTTGTCTTAAAGGTTGCAGACCCCTGGTCTACACTGATCAGCAGTGGCTGTCCAATGGTTTTGGGCAGGGGGCATGCACAGCCCGACCTGGCGATGCCAGGAATTGAACCTAGGACCTTCTGCATGCAAATCAGATGCTCTGTCCCTGAGACATGGCCGGTCCTCTGCCCTCTCTTGGACTGAGTGAGCAGTGACAGGAACAACCTCAGCTCACCCCGCCTGTTCTCTATGGACGGTTATTCACATTGGGCCCAGAGGAAGAGGGCAAGCTTAGGATCGCAGGGACAGTGGCAAAAAGGAGGGGAACAATCAGGGAGGGACCCCCTGAGTGCATCATCATCACCATCACCATCACTGCTATTATTATTATTATTATTAAATTCACAATCTTTTCCTTCTACCAGAAGAAGCATACCAAAAAAAGAGAATTTTTGCATTTGTAATGGACCATATCAAAACACACAACATTATTAAGCATACACACAAACCATTTGGTGAAAATAATTATATTTACACCTCAAGCACTATGATTACACTTCTAAACCTCTTTTACCCATTGTAAGAGAAAGTAGTCCGTTCAGCCTCTGGATATTCTCAGTTCCCTTTTTTATGTGACTGGTTAGTAAACGCCATTTGCCAAATTGCTATTGATATTTTCCTGTGTTCTTTAACATAGTTGCTAATGTAATCAACTTTATTGCTCACCATTTTCCCTCGTTATATCTGAATTATATGGTTTATGGTCTTTAGCATACCTCAACCTTGTAGTAGTGACTATGTGTAGGATTTGAATTTTATATGCTTGTAATGGTTAATCCTTGACACAGTTTAAGAGACCCTTTAATTTAAGGGTCCAATGGAAGCCTGACCTGAAAAATAATAAGAATTACTCTAACATTATTAAATATCATTATCATCACCATTATTACTTCTGAACCAATTTTAATATTAAGTGCAGAAACAAGGTCTGAGACCTAGTGGTGAAGGGTAGGAAAGAAATCAAAATATAATCACAATCACAACAATAATTGTACTTATTGTTCAATGGAAATGCAGTGTTGTGAGTGCAACCAAGCTCCTCTGAGCATTTTGGGAAAGGGCTGCAAAATCATAAGATGTTCCCAGAAATTGCCCTAAGAATTGCATCTGTAAGAGCAGTCTGCACTTACCAGAGTCTAGAGGAAGGATATTCTCCACTGAATCCAAGTTGATGGAGGGAGTTCATCAATAGGCGAGTCTTGGGTGCTTGCGAACGAACCCTCTGCCAGTCTGAAGCTTGAGGCTCTTTGCCACGCTGCCAACTTCCACAAACCAGAAGGACCCCGCAAGAGGCACCTGCGTAGTCATTGGGAGTGAAGAAACAACGGGTGTCATCACTGCCACCAAGGAAACGCAATGTTGAGTAAGGCTAAGAGGAAGACAATGAACTGCAAGAGGGCGGGAGAGCCACGAAAAGCCATTGCTAACCTAGATTTGCTTCTGAAAGGCTCTTGTGACCAAGCCACGGTCTGTCTGCTACCAAAGCTCCAGGGGAAAAGCTTCTCGCTATCATTAGTCATAAATCTAATGACAACGTTTAATGACTTCCTTCCAGTAAGCACAGAAAGCCATCGCCCCAAAGCTGCACGGACGCCTTCATCTGGCCTTTGCAAGTGAAACGTCAGTTTGCAGCAGGCGGACAACCTCTCTCCCCAACCCAGCTGCCCTTGGAGTGGCACGCTTTCGCCTGCAACCACAGGCTTTTCTCACAACAATCTCAGCCACTTCAGAGGGTAGGATTCAAATGGAACCAGTAAAAAATGATGCAATCCTCACAAGGCTTCCTGACAGATATTGGAGAGGGTCAGAAGGAGGGCACATATCTCCTGCACTGGATCATACCTCTCTGTACACAGGATATCAGCAACATTTTTCAGTCTCATATTTTTTTGATCTCAAGATCAGTTCTTCACATTTTGTGATTTCCCCCCTTTAAAGTCCTCATCAGCATTTAATTGCAAATTTCCCCAAATATAAACGTTTTTGTATAAATGCACATTTCTGCAGAGAAATTTTATTTAGTATAATGCTCTTTTGAATGTTACTTTCACTAGTTTATGCATTTTTATGCACACTTTACCGTAACATATGCATTTTTGTACACGTTACTTGATTGGATAAATTTGTTGCCAAATCCGAAGAAGAAGTGTGAATTTAGAAGTCTGGCTCTGTTTCGGCCTACGTATTGTTTCAGAAAGTGTTCACCTTTAAATGCAAATGGAATCAAATATGTCTCCCATCCCTGTTCAAGAATAGACAACGTGCGGGTTTCTTTATGTTATATTGGACCACAACTCCCATCATCCCTGCCGATTGGTCATGCTGGCTAGGGTTGGTGGGAGTTGTAGTCCAACAACGAAGGGGCCAGCCCCCCCAAAAAAGTTAATGAGCATTGCCATTCAGTTGGTGTACATGTGCTACATATGCAGGGCGGGGCTTATTTGGGCCCCCAATATTTTATTCAAGATGGCACCCTTGCCCACTGCCCCATTTGCTGATGATCAATACAACAGCAACAAGCCTTTTAAAGCCCTAAACAGCCTTGCCCCTGTATACCTGAAGGAGAGTCTCCATCCCCATCATTCAGCCTACACTGAAGTCCAGCTCCGAGGGCCTTCTGGCAGTTCCCTCATTGCGAGAAGAGAAGTTACGGGGAACCAGGCAGAGGGGCTTCCGGACAGTGGTGCCCACCCTGTTGAACGCCCCTGCAGCAGTTGTCAAGGAGATAAATAACTAGACAACTTTTAGAAGACATCTGAAGGCAGCCCTGTATAGGGAAATTTTTAATGTCTGGTGTTTCATTATATTTTTTATATTCTGTTGGAAGTTGCCCAGAGTGGCTGGTGAAACCTAGTCAGATGGGTGGTGAGTATAAGTAACATATTCATATCATCATCATCATCATCATCATTCCCCATGCCACCCAACAGACAGAATTCTGTGCTATCTTGCATGAAAATACAATGTTATGTGCTGTGAGAGCTACTAGGCCAAAGAACTCTGGAGCTTGTGAGGATGAGAATGACCATAATTTGACTTATGACCGAGTCTAGATGTGCTTGAAACTTCAGGGCGGCCGGATATGAAAACAGATCCAAATCTTAACACCACTGCTGAATAGGGCTCTGAATCATCAGGAGACCTTGTTTCTGCAATTTCCTTCTGATCTCAACAAACCTGTTCACCCCACACAGTCTGGCATCAACTAATTGCATCATACCTTCTCTCTGCACAAGAAAAAGTTGTATGATATAAATCACAGCATTGCCAATGGGGTGTAAAACAAAGGGTTAAGCAGGCATGAAGACATGAAGAGACCAGGGATGATAATTGGATAATAATAATAATAATAATAATAATAATAATACCCTGCCCATCTGGCTGGGTTTCCCCAGCCACTCTGGGTGGCTCCCAAGAGAATATTAAAAACACAATGAAACATCAAACATTAAAACTTCCCTAAACTGGGCTTCCTTCAGATGTCTTCTAAAAGTTTATTTCCTTGACATCGGATGGGAGGGCATTCCACATGGTGGGTGCCACTACCAAGAAGGTCCTCTGTCTGGTTCCCTGTAACTTCGCTTCTTGCAGTGAGGGAACTGCCAGAAGGCCCTCAGAGCTGGACCTCAGTGTCCGGGCTGAACAATGGGGGTGGAGACGCTCCTTCAGGTATACTGGGACAAGGCCATTTAGGGCTTTAAAGGTCAACACCAACACTTTGAATTGTGCTCAGAAACATACTGGGAGCCAACGTAGGTCTTTCAGGACTGGTGTTATATGGTCTCGGTGGCCACTCCCAGTCACCAGTCTAGCTGCCGCATTCTGGATTAGTTGTCGTTTCCGGGTCACCTTTAAAGGTAGCCCCACATAGAGCGCATTGCAGTAGTCCAAGTTGGAGATAACTTGAGCATACATCACTCTGGTGAGACAGTCTGCGGCTCCAAGGTGCATGAAGATAGGTGGTGGTGGTAACTTTGCCTCAATTAGAGGTGCTAATGCAGGGGCAGGGGCAGGAAACCTGTGGCCCTCCAGATGTTGTTAGACCACAACCTCCATCAGCCTCACCCACCATGGCCAGCAGTGAGGGATAATGGGAGTTGTAGTCCAACAATATATGGAGGGCTCTAGGTCCCTCCACTCCTTCTCTAAATGTAACAGAGTCTAAAAGAAAACCAATGATTTTGAATTCCATATGAAATAAATAAACAAACACAAGGGAGTGGGTGTAGGGGAAGTGAGTGAAATCACCTCCCCTTCCCCCAACACGATATATAGGGACCTCCAGATTCCCAGATTATCCCCGTACCTCTAACCTCCTGAGTTAGGATAGACAAGGAAACATTTCTATCCAAGTTTTGTTCATCCTACAATGAACGACTTGGATATTTTTCTTATTCTACAAACATCACTGTGCGTGACTGTGATTGCAACGAGTGCAGTCTACTTTTTAAGGTTCACTCGCCAAATGTTGCTCATTCCTCATGCAAAAGGGGTTCAATACGGAGCGTTCGTACGGAGCCCCCTGTCGTTTCACGGACTATTGACCCGTACTGCCACCAACCAGGTCCTCCCTGGTAAAATCACTTCAGTCTCAGTCAGCTTTTCAATTAATAAAGAAGAGTGTATTTTATTTCAGACACAAACAAAACTTTTACAGCATTCCAAACGTTGTTGCTCTTTACTTTCTTAGTCTTATTTTCCTCTCTCTATCTCTTCTACTTCCCCACACTCAAGAACCCACGGCCCTAACTGTCTCTCTATTACCAACTGCCTTTCCCAACTAGCCAACCCACGAAAACCCATCAACTACCCAACCAACTCCTCCCAGAACTCCTCCCAGAACTGGTTTTATAAACCCACTGACTCCACCCCCCTGGGTCCGGTCTGTGCAACCTATTTAACTATTTCCCCTCCAGCACTCTCTCATATATGTTAACGTCACAGTAACTGACCCAGTTAATCACAACAGGACCCATGGAGGATGTCTTGCCTGAGGGTCCTCCAAAACATGGAGCTGCCACTGCTACTCATGTTCTATTTGAAATGCGCAAACACACACACACAATTACATGTGAAAATAAGTGTCTCTTGGAGAGTAGTAATCATAATCAAGAAACATTGGAAGCCACCTTGTATTGAGTCAGACCAATTGGTCCATTGAGCTATATATAGACTACCTTGACTGGCTATCCAAGGTTTCCAGTAAGGAGTCTTTCCCAGCTGTAGTGGGAGATGCCTGGAATTGAATCAGGAACCTTTCACATGCAAAGCAAATGCTCTACCATATGAGAACAAAAACACAGCCCTTCTTCGAATCCTATCCCAATTTTGTGATGCGGTTCTCCAACCAACGTTTGCCAAAAATGCATATGTCCAGGAAAAGTGCACATAAAATTTAACAAATTAGTGGAAATAATAGACAAAAATGCATTGCGTTAGGAAATGTCATTTGCAAAAGTTGTGTGTATATTAGTCAAAACAGCATACAAAAATGTGTTTCTTAGGAGAAATTCTCACCAAAATGCTGATGAATTTTCATGAGGATTTTTTTTAAAGCAAAGTGCAACAGGAATGTAGAGAACTGAATTTAAGAATGGAAACATGAGAAACAGAGAGAACCAAAATTGACAGTTTTCCATCCCTTCTGATGAGGCAATTCTTCATATGTGACATGAATAGTTCCTTGTTATGTTCAACAATATGTACATCCTGGCTTGTCTCTGCTCAGCACATCTTATGCAAAGGCCAGGGGTCTGCACCAGAACTTAAAAGAGTAAGCTCAATAAAAGCCTGAAGTACAAAATGCCTTGTCTGTCCCAGCATCCTCCTCCCAAAACATTTGATAACTCTGAATTGGGGGTTTTAGAGTGAGGGAATAATAATAATTTGAAAAATCCTCTTTGCATCATTAACTATCTGAATCTCTGTCATGTCAGCAACTGATAAAGAGAGTAAGAAAATAGACCCTTGTCAGGGAAGGAGGCCTCCACTACTAGCCCTCACAAATCTGAGGCTCAGGAGGAGCCAGCGGAAACCATAAATTGCCTAAAGTTACACTTAACCCACCCAGGAAGATGCCCCACTCAAGGGGGTTACAGATTTTAGGGCTCCATAACACTGAGCCCACTTCCTACCTTTGGATCTTTCAAATTCATACAAATGTATTTCATCAGGGAACATCGCTCTTCAAAAATGTGTCTATTAGGCAAAACTACACTTTAAAAAAATAAATGCGAAAATGTGGAGATTGAACTTAAGGCTTGAAAAAAGAGAAACTGAGAGAAAGTGGAACTGCCAGATTCACCCATCCCTATTTAGCTCCACCTCAAAACAAAGCAGAGGTCTTACCCCTTTCCACAGGATATAGATCAGCCCAGGTCCTGGACCTTCTCCTCAGGCTGCTTCTCAGATTCTGCTCCACATTCTCCCACAGCTGAGGGAACGTCTTCCTTGGTAGGGCTTGGGTGGCTTTTACTGGGCTTTCTTCCTGTCAGAGGTGCTCTGCGTGGCTTCTTACTTATTTGGGAAGGGAATAATCACTGGTTGAAAATTAAAGGGAAGCTTTCCCTGTGTAGAAAGAGTAGAGTGCCGGAAGCACCGAAACACACACACTCTCTCTCTGCGTGTTTACGGATTAAGCCCTGGGAAATCCCATCACATTGGATGTGTTGCCCAACTCATTTACTAGTAGTAATAGCAGGAACAAAAAAAACAAAAACAAAAACAAAAACAAAAAAAAAACGCCGCAGAGGGAGTGGACTCTCTGGTGAGTGAGTCACAATCCCATGGCATGCTTCAGCAGGTCTCTGCTTCTAATTTTATTCTGGTATCACCTTGTGTCTGAGAGAGCAACCTATCTAAGAAATTCTGTATCCCATTTTTAAAAAAT